ATTGATCCAAGAGACGTAGCAATAAAAAACAGTTTGACAATTTTTCTGTCTTTGGCACTTTTTTGTAGCTGTTCCTAGGCCACCCACAGATCCACACAGAATCAAACTTTATGCTTATTTGGCACTTCTGCAAAGTTTTTCAGGTATCCACAATTCCCTGAGTGTGACATTCAATTTTTAGAGTCCCAGTCCAATGATTCATTCTGTCTGAATTGGCCACAAAATATGGAAACCCTGATACGTATCTGCTGAGAACCATATTCAGTGACATTCTCCTCTACATCAGCTCTCTCTTTCTTACCTGGACCTCAAATTCCTTCCTAAGCTATGATAATATGAGTTTTCTTACTCTTATCACCTTCACACTGTCTCACTAGTTTGCTGGGATTCCCAGTCCTCGCCCTTCTTCAAACTCCTCAGATCCTCTCTTTTTCCTTCTGTTGTAATTGTCTGTACTTTTACATCCCATTGAGAGGTTATAAACCTTTACTGAAATCTCTTCTTCTGTTCCAAAATTAGGGCGAATATCTTAAGTTGTTCCCCATGGGGAGTCCAAGTCTTACCTCAGTGTGATGAAGGTGGAGAAAATGAGTTTGCAGCAGCTTGGCTGGTTTTTATTCCAAACCCATCAATATGCAAATTGCTTCCTATCACAGTCATCCCATTGACTTCTTGGGACTGTTCCACATTTCCAGGACCAATGGATTGAGCTGTGCCAGACAGACGGAACAAACTGCTGCTCCCCTGCTCACCAACAGCACCAAAAACTTTGATGCAAGAGGAGAGAACCACACTGACCAAAACACTGCTTTCCCCTTGAGGGAACAGCAGCACCTCCTGCCCCTGCCCACACCTGCTGTGCATAACCACAGAGCTTCACACACTGATCCCTTCCTGGCCTCTTGCTCATTTCCCACAGCGTCTGACTTGGTGATAAATTTGCTTGCCAGCCAGGAGAGAACAGACAAATTAGTGAAAAATGTGGGTTTTCAGACTTCAAAGATGCTCCTGGGTTTAAAGTAGTATTAGCCTCTACATTTCTAAATTGAGCAGAATCTTTTTTCATTGGAAAATTTGAAGTGGAGCAGTTCTGCTGCCAGCTTTACTATTTTAAGACCCTCAGGAGTCAAAGTACTTAAGCAATCCCTAATTTTAAATCACACTAACAAAAAATATTTACTGAAGTACTGTGTTTCAGGATTATTCTTCTGAAATTCACAGGCTTGGTTGTAAAGTATTTTTTTTTTCAGTTCTATGCTGTTTTCTCAGTTCTATTTAGATCCTTTTGGTAGCTGGCCCAGGTAGTAACAGGACAACAGATGCTGATAAATCAGAAATTGCAATCTTTGCTCAAATAAGGAAAGCTTTAGCAGCAGTGTAAATTTGAGCCAGAAGAATGGAATTTTTTCTGGTTTTTTCCTCTTTTCACTACAGCAGCAATGTGTATTCTTAGCAGTTAAACACTAGCAATGTTTCAAAAAGTCACCATGCCACATTGCAGTTATGTAAAAAGAGGTGTCTGTCAAACATGCTTAGACCCAAAATTGCATAGAGATTAAAAATAAAAGCTATCACTCCAGTGGTAGGAATTTCAAACATCCCTGGGGGTAAAATCTATACAGGGCCATACAGAACAAACCTATAAACTCAGCTCCCATTAGTATCTCTGCAGCATCAGTCAGCAAACCTCAACTATGTCCTCCAGGCAGGGTAAAGAAATTGGTAAGCCTTGTGCAGAAGTAAATTATGTGTTTCAGGTAATATTTGTTTTATATAAAAGAAGGGAGAGTAGGGCAAGAATTCTAACAAATTTCATGGTACTAAGAAGCAGGTTTTGTTTTGTCCCTGAATTATATTCTGAAAATCAGCCTTGAGGGCCTCCTTTCTTCTAAAAGAGCCAGCTGAGGTTGAATATCTACTTTTATCCCAGAAAAGGACCTCATTTCTCAAAAGAGACTGGCAAATAATTGTTCCAGTGGAAGAGAATCACAAATCCCTCATCCCAGTTTGTCCTCCTCCCTCCATCAGAGCAATCCAGCCTCTAGAACTTGTTGAAAACTGGTCAGCCAATCTCAGAGCTGTGGGGAAGTGTGAGCCCAGGGGAAGTCTGGCCTTCCACAGCACAAAACACCAGAAATATTTTGGTCATTGTGTTACAGTGTTTTAGGAGAACTGAGGAGGAGAAGGAGGAAACATCCTTCCTGCAAGGCAGAAGGACTAAGTAGGCAACAGGAGACAACAAAGCCTTGAGCTGCCAAGGTGGAGTGTGACCAGTATTGTAAATCTCAGACTGTCCATGCTCCAAAAGGGAAGGTGAAGTTTCTTGGTTTTCCCAGACTTATTGATACACAAACTCTTTGTTTGGGAGCAGACAGCAGCATCACCTTTTATTTTACAGCATGTTTGGAAAGGGTGCTGCTCCCTGGAGGTGGAGGTCGATTCTGTTCTCCCCTTTTAAAACCCAGAAGTCATTGTCTTGGTGCAAATCCCCAGCACTGGTGTTCTTGGCCCTCAGGTGGGATCTCCAGTGAGGTGACAGAGCCCCAGAAAACCCAACTCTGTGCTGAGGGCTCCCCTAGACTGACCTATGCCCAATGCATGGACCTCTGGAGAACCAACATGTCTCCATGTCCTTCTGGATCTGTTTCTGGAGTCCAGACCTGAATGTGGCCCTTTATACCTTAGCTATCATTTTGCTGAAATGGTAAGAATATTTTTATTCTGTGCTTTGTTTATTTAAATGTCAAACCTTTAAATCAGAAGCCTCCCTCACTGTGTGCATAAATCTGGTAGAGCAACAAGGGGGATGGGAGCACAGGAGATCTAAAGACAGTAAAAATGGCAGTAAAACTACACATCCTGTGTACAAATGCATTTCTATTTGCTGTTGTTAGAATACAGTCTTCTGTGAACCTTTTTTCTATTGCTATAGACTAGCTATAATATAAAAGTCTCTTGACTGTTTAAATGACGTGGCTAGGAAGAAGATTTCTCCCACTGAGAACGGATACAATTTAGAATATGGAGCAGAATGGGATAAGTTGAATATTCAAAAACTCACAGTCAACTTTTTGCATGCAGATTAACTCATAAAAAAAAATGCCACTGCCTGCAGTACCTACTCCTGGTCATAACTGCAGTATTTATAATGGGATATTAAGCTTTAGTTATGTTACTGTCTTAGGCTACATAAACCACCAGGAAAAGAGGGAATAAATAAGGTTCTTGCAGATTACTTAATTGTAGCAAACAAGAAGCTGCAGTAATCACAATTTTGCTTTGCAAGGAAATTCCATGGTTGAGAGGTGGTGGAATGGATTCGTGAAGGAAACGGGACTAGCATTAATTAGTGTGGTCCCAGCAGGCCATTAATCAGGATGGGGTAAAGCCTCAGTAAACTCACAGACCTCTACTCAAACAGGTAGGTCACACAGTGGGAAAAGCTCTAGCTCTGCTGAAGGAAACTGCTGTTCACCTCCTGGGGATTTGGATCCTTTCAAAACTGGGAAGGATGGGCACAGGTCATGTTCCTCTTCACAGGGATTAAAAGCTGCCAGAATTTGTGCTGCTCAGGAGAGGGAGAAGTGCAACAGGGATGGATATGTGACCTTACAGAGCCGATCCAGAGGCTGGCTTTTCCCAGGTCAAGGGTTACTGTTGTGGCACCAACCTTCACCTTGAGTGTATGTTTCAACAGACAAGGAACTGTAAAGCAGCATGTCCATTCCAAGTGTCTTGTAGGAATGCTTCCTAGCCTGTAGAGACCTATGGGAGAGAGGAGCTGGGACTATCACCTGCAAGCTGCTCAAACACCTGACACTCAAAAGCTCCATCCTTGGAGGCACAGCCAAGGAAGGACAGTGGCTTGTAGTCCCCTCATGTGAGTAGGGTGGGATCTGTGGGCTGCCTGAGGTAAGAATCTAATAATTTGACCACAGCAATTATGCCAGTTAGCAAAGAACTCACTTACTTCATTAAAGGAATTGCAAGCAGTCAGTGGTTTGCTTTCCATTGCCATAAGTAGTCTTTTCATAGCTTTTCTGGCTTTCAGAAACTGTGTTTTTTGCTGCAGAAATTGGGAATCTCATTGCCTGGTGTACAGATGTGGGCGGTGTGTTACTTCAACTCTACATGCAAACTGCAGCAAAAGGTTGGTCAGAGTGATTGTGACACTCCTCTCAGCTCCTCCACATGTGCCTACTGCAGGACATTGGAAAGGTCTCTTCTTCTCCCATCCCTTCACTGTTGTTTCAAACCCTTCTACTGTCTTCTGTCTTTGGGCTGTGAGAGAACTTAATCTTTCACTTCTCACTTTCCCAAAGGAGCTGTAGGGTTAGAGTTCCCATATCCCATTGGAGTGGAATGTACTGCCTTTCTCTCAACACCCTGACTTTCCCACAGCTGCTTATAGGAAAATAACTAAAGTCAAACGAGGTCTACATACAGCATAAGACAGGTACTATTGTCATGACAAATGCTTTTGTTTTACAAGGAGATTCCAAAGTTTTTACTCTTGAGCCTGGCTGGACAATTTCTGCCTGGAATCTTTGGCCTGTCAGAACTGTTATTTGCTTGAACAAAGAGTAAGGCATTTCCATCCAATTATTTTCCTGCATTAGTAACAGGATTACTAGAGATCCATATATTCTTTATAATATCCTTCCACTTTCAAAGCTGAGGAGTCTTTCAGAAAATTAATGTATTTGGCTACAGTTCTGCACAGGCATATGAGCTCAAGATAAGCTAAAACTGTTTTTTAAAATTGGGCTTTTTTTCCTCAGGCAATATTTTTATGTTCCCCTTCTAATCTTTAATTGGAAGTCAGAGTTAGCATATTGATAACTTGGCTCACTCTCCATTTAATTCTGTTTTGAGTGCTGATAATCTAATTACACCATTTTACATAAGGAAGTGCAGGCTGAGGAAGTTGAAGCAATCTGATGCCAAAACATATGGCCCATTAAGATGTATCATGCTGACTGTTACAAGGACATACTTACTGTGGTCCAACCAACCTGCTGACCCAGGTCTGTGAAATACAGTGTAATGATGGAGGAGACAGCAAGGCTTTGGATGCTGATGGAATCCTTCAAAAAGGGCCCGTCTGCAGTGACAGAAATGGAAGAGGAGATGGTGTGAGCAGCAGGACCCTCTTGAGGGCTCAGCACAGTGCTGAGGCTGCCCTGCTAGTGCTCCAGATGCAGGCCCAGCTTGGATTCTGATTTACTTTTGTGGCTTGGTACTTCTTCTCCAGGTTAGCAGCTCAGAGCTCTTCCATGAGGGTTGTTCCCTTCCCATGTTAACAGAAGCGTTTGGCTGCAGTGACAGGACAGCAGTGTGTGACAGCTGTGCACTGCTGTCCCTGTCAAGGTGGCCCATCAGAGACAGGCCATGCAATCACACAGACAGCTCCACAGGGCACTCTTGTTCTGGCTTGCAGGATTAATGGCAAAGTCTGTGTTGCACAGCCTCTCCCTCACTGCCGTATTGTGTTGAAGCATTTGCATTCTCAGGCTGTGCAGTGCCTGATGATCAATGCAACCTCTTGAGCAAAGGCTCACGAGCCAAGATTTCTTTTCTGGCTGTCTGACCCAGGCAGACCAGGTATATCTGAGCATTACATTACTGTTTGCAGTATTCTGAGGCATCTGCTTTCAGTCCTAATGGATCTAGAGTACACAGAAGGACACATGAAATAACAATATTTGGTTTGTTTTTGTTTTTTTTTTTTAATATAGGCGGTGAGCTGGCTATTGGAAAATTCCAACAACCACTGGCACAGGAAGTTGCCATGGCTGCAACACCTCTTTGCTCTTTGTGAATGGTCTCCTTTTCAGTATACATTTGTTGATTGTTTACATCAGTGAGGGTGCTAGATTCCATCAGGTGCTGATGGAATTTAGCACCCACCAGCCTCATTTTCTATGGCTTTGCAATTCTACACATCCACAGACCAAACACCAAACAGCCTCTGGCAGCTTTATCCTCCACTGCCATGTCCACCAAGAACTTGTGGACTGACACAGAGGCAGCCAGCTGCAACTTCTGGTGAAGAAGTGAGCAAATATTAAAACAGGCAATGCAGTGAGGGGTTGAATGGGCTTAAAACTGCTTGTCTTCATTGTGTGATCATAGACTGTATTCTGGAACATCTGACTCAGTGGTTATGAAAACCACTAGGTTCCTTTACTAATGAGAAAAACTAGTAAGGTAATAATTGATGTCAGTTGATGAGAAAGTACCTACAGTTCACCCAATAACACATATAGAGAGAGCAATGCTGTGAGGAGGAGAATCTGCCAGAGGATTAGTAATACATTAGGTGGATTAGTAATTAGTAATACATTAGGTGGATTGGTAATTAGTAATACATTAGGTGGCTGCACTCAGCCATACGAATACTCACTGTGTTCCAGTTGCAGGCCAACACGGGATGGGTACCACTGGGGACCTGTTCCAATCATAAAGCATGGCTGTTAATTTTGTGATAGAAAAGCTAATTTTTTTTAGGTTTGGGGTGGGGTTTTTTTCAGCTGATATCTACAGAAGTGAGATGGAATAAAAAGCAACCTTCTTTTGGTCTAAACTATACAAGAGAGCTGGGAGGAGCACACAACATACACATTAGAGCATGAATCCCTTCTCCCATTTCAGTGTTGGAAGGGCCAATCTCAATGCTGAATGCTCCATCAGCACAGCTTGTGTGTGCAACACTGGGAAATATAGAGAGGATACTGTTTATTACTGTATTTGCCAAAACTCAGTACTAAATGTATCAGCCTTGCCCCTCCTTCTAGAAAATATGCCTGTGCTAGAGTCTGCTCCAGGCTCCAGGACTTTGTGTTTCCCATTTAGGAATGTAAAACCTAACTAGGGATTTGCAGCTTGTATTAGGTCTCAACTAGAAATTAATCAGGGAAATAGAGGCACAGAAAGTAGAAGCACATGGATAGCTAATGCTGGGTGACTTATGAGTCCCTTGATACCCCCAACTTGAGGATGTTTCCTAGAAGTAGATTTTTAAATGTTGTAGTTTAAAGGTCATTCCAAAATGCACAATAGCAGTTTGGTGTTGTTATTGGATTCCCTTTGGTGATTTGGAGCAGAGACCTGTCAGGTTGGTCAAACAGGTATGGATCTCCAGCTGCATTTGTTTCCCTTGGTGTTGGAGTGAGCAGGGAATTGCCACCAACACACTGCAGAGGGGATTGTGGCTGTTCAGGTTGTAACTTGGCCAGCTCTTTAGCTGTGCAGAAGGCTGTGCTTCTGCAGCTGTGCTGCTGAATGGACAATGCAAACACTCCTCCTTTGCATCACAAGGGCAAGTAACTGCCTAACCCATACACACTCTTTGGTTTGCTGTTGAAGGTTTCTAGGGCTGACCCAGCACATTTCTGCGCTCAGCTGAAGCAATGTAGTGAGAACTTCCATAGTCTATGGTGTTGACTGACATTTGGGGGAAGCAAAGATTGTGAGAGAAAAGTGAGGAACCTGCTGCAGTATCACCACCTCAGTCATTTCTACCACACATTTGTCTTTATTTCCTTTGACACACCTGAGGACAGTTGATAGCCTGAAGGAGATTTACTTTGTCTTTTCAATTCAAAGCCTATGTGAAATTGCTCAGGTTTTTTAGATGTATCTTACAACCCTTAGTGATCCTGTGTCTAAGGTGCAAATATTCCCCTACCTCTAAATGGAAAAAAATGTTTGCAGTGACTGTGATCAAACGTGAAACATTTGCCCCAAGAAGCTGTGGGATCTCCTGGACATATTCAGGCCTTGTCTGGGGATGACCTTGAACAGTCTTATAGGACTTTAAAGTTGGCCCTGTTCTGAGCAGGAACCTGGATCTGGAGATGAGCTCTGGAGGTTGTTTCTCCCTAACTTATTTCAGGGTGGTGAGGAGAGCTTGTTCTCTCCACCAGCTGCCAGCTGGAGGGGAAGGAGCTGTACAGGGTGTGCACTGTGCAGTGACACTCAGCACACTCATTTCAAAAGCACTTGGTATGACTTTTGTAGGCAAGAACGGGCATTAGATGAACCCATGAACCAGGGCTAATAGCAGGAGGTGAGACATCCATCAAGTAAGTTGCAAACATTTTTTTCAAGGTACCACAACAATTCATGGCTATTAAAGATAACAAAGGGAAGATAGAGAAGGAGCAGCTGTCTGACTTGTCAGGGAAGATATGATTTGCTCCAGGACAGCAGATATCAATAGTTATTTGGGAGCCTGAAATGCAATGTATTTGTGTTAAATTGGAATCTTCCCCCCAGCTTCCCCCCTTCATATTACAGTATGTTTCAATAAAAGTCAATTTACCTGATCCTGTGGCAATGCTCTTTTAGGTATGGCTCATAATCTTCACAAGGGCAAACAGAGGTTGTGCATTTAAGCACGTCATCCCACATTTCCAGTACTTTAGCCTCAGTACACCATTATGCTCAAACATACTCAAAGATTTAGACAGATGGAAGTGTGCCTTTGCTGCTGCTCCTCTGCAGTGACCTTGTTGTTACATCAGCCTGTCTCTGGTTTCCTGGCCATGCCTGGAAAGCTGTGTGTATTCTTCTGGAAGGATCTGGAATTAGCTGTTCTTTCACTGCTCTTACTCTTGGTAGGGGGCCACTAGCTAATGTCAAGTGGAAATGCTAAATGGAGTGGGGGACAAAGCCCAAACACGTTTCTGTCTTGGTTTGAGTGAGACCATCAAAGCTTCCCACTTTCAGCAGATTCTAGCTAGGCTGTTCGCAGGTGTTAGCTGTCTAGGGTCCTGCAGAAACCAGCATTGCTTTCTGGGGAGAAGTGTGCCCCCACAAGGAGTGTGCTCTCCTGCCTTGATAAGGTTCCTTTCAGGTAGGAAATCTCACACATTCCCGGGTGCCCTGCTCACCACTTGGTAACAGTCAGACAAAGGGACCCTGGCCCCACTGGTCACCACTTATTTGCCTTCCTCCTATGACTATTTTCCACATGGATCCTCCAAAAATCCCATAGAACAGCTCTGGATTTCTGTTTGGCAATGTGGGAAGCTATTTCAATCCAGCCTGCCTATGGCAGACACACATTACTCTCATTCCTGTAGCAGGGAAACTCTCTTTTCTTTAAAGTGTGAAAAGAAGCCTAACTGAGGGACTAATTACCACTTGTGTTAATTCTTGCTACTGCCTGTCAGAATGAGGGGTTGATGGCTCTCCTGGCTACCCAGAGCCAGGGCTGTGTGGCAGAGCAGCTTCACCTGGCACCAGCAGGAGTTCAGGAGAGCCTCTGGAGAGTCCTGCTCCCACACAGGGTAAGCACACACACTCACTGAGGGCAGCACAGGCACAGCTGCAGCTGTGGGCAGCATTTGAAGGCCCCTCTGCAATCCCAACACCTGGCAGAGCTCCCCTTGCTCCCAGTCTAAAGCTGAAGGGTTTCTCTTTTACAGGGTTGTTTTGGGGGTTTTTAGCAATGTATAATTCAATTTTTTTTTCTTATTAACGTTTTCCATTGCTGCCTCCTGCAGAGATTAATGGCAGTCCAAGGCCATGGGTGACAGAAGTTTCTCTTGTAACTCCTGTTGCATCTAAGATCAGGCATACATTAATATTTACTTTCTGACATTGTGACGGTGCATCAGAGCTCAGCCACAGCAGGTCACAGTCTCTGTATAATCCTTGCAGTTAGCAGAGCTGTTCAGCTCCCTCATGCAGGGTTTATGGGTTTGGATGTGTATTTCACACTTGGAAGAAAGTTGTAAAAATAACATTTCAGCTCACTTATATCCCAGAGTGGCTCTGACTTGGAAAAGCAGCTATAGACTGTCCAGAGAGTAAGAGTGGCCATGGTGGTTCCAACCACAGGTCTGTTTAGCCAATATTACATCCTCTAATGTTTAGTCAATATTGTGGTCCCTCCACATCTATTGCATTTCCAGCATTTATGTAAAACAGCTCTGGTTCCTCTCTTTGCAGCACTATTGGACAACTGTTGAAATGTCTTCCTAGTTTTCCATCTCTCTTTGATTACTTCTACTCTGCTGGCTTATCCTTCTCTGGAAGGCTGTTTGCCTCAGACCCCAATATGATCACCCCCCAAATGCAGGCATGCTGGCGCCTGAAACCTTTGCCCATTCTTCATATGAAAAGTCATTCACAAATTCCTTGCATTTAAGTGACATCAATTTCATTCTTCCTCACTGAGCAACTTGATTTAGCTGAGGATGTTCCTGACCATGCCAGGGGGGCTGGACTAGATGATCTCTGATTGTCCATTTTAACCCACACTGTTCTACAGCTCTGTGAGTTATTAAAGACATAAACATAACACACATCCTGTGTGTTGCAATTCTGTTATGATTCAGGCAAAGTCATATCTATGTGTACAGGCTTCCATTAGTCAGCAAGTGCAAGCAATTATGACAGGTCTTAAGTCTTTGACCACATTCCATGTTCTCTATCAGGGATTTGTTCCAACTTTGCATTTTAAAAAAAATCCATACATTTATTAAAAAAAACCCCTTAAAATAGTTTAAGGCATCCTAATTTTTCCGAACAGGATGGTATTTGCTTGGAAAGCAACTCAATGTTTACTGTGTTTTAATTTAATAACCTCTTTTAAAAATTGTATCTGAAGAAAAATATTTAATTTTGTGGGGGTTATTTGTTGTACCTATCCATATTTAAAAGAGAAATTAAAATACAAGCAAACTGACAGGACACATAAAAACAGACAGCCACCTTTAATTTTCCCATAGCCAGCTATGGAATTACCTATTAATACTGTCTATAAAAAGGAGATGTAGTGCTGTCAAATAACCATACAAATACCAGCTAAAATGACAGCCTCAGTGCCATGCCCAGCTGCAAATACCACTGCACAAAAATGAACAGAAAACCAAATTCCACTGGTCCTGCTGCCCACATGGTGAGGTTTTTTCACTGCCTGTATACTAGAATCCCAGTAAATGAGTCAGCTAACCAGACAATCCTAGGAAGCAAGAACAGTAAGAAAAGCCCCTATGTAGCTTTACCACTGTCCAAAGGTACTCTGGACATGACTCAATCTGACCTTAATGTGTGCTCCACCACTTAAATGTCACAAAATGTTTTGAAAATTTAACAGCTAAGAAATCTAAGTACTTCGTACTTTTCAATAGTTGTGAAATTGAAGGAATTGACCTAATTTTTAATAAGTTTTTACAGAATCTTCTACAAAAAAAAATTAGTGCACTGTCTGCTCTGCAGTAAATTGCACAATCAAATGCCCATTTGTCACAAAGTATTTATGAAGTTTTGTGAGCCTGTATGAGAACAAAGGTAACATAATGAAAAACTCCCTTGCTGGGGAATTCAGTGTGTTCCTTAGAATGCAGACCTGCAAAAGCTATTCTATTCTGCTGGGGAGAGAGGAGTCTGAGAAATGCAAAACACAACTGACAGACACAATTTGGAGATAATTAGCAG